GAATTTTATTCTGCATTTTTCTCCTGTGTCCCTACTCAGAACAGTGGGTAGTGGTATTTGGGCACCATCTAGTTTCTCTGGTCTCTAGCTAGAAGAGCCTGTGGTTCTCATGGGCCATTAGTACGTGGACGAATTTCTTCCTTGAGTCTTTGGTTTCCTTCACTCCTTTGCTCTAGATGGGAAGAGACCAATAGCTGTATCTTAGATGGCTGCTTGCAAGCTTTTAAGACACCAAATGCTACTCACCAACTAGGATATAGAACATTATCTTTATGAACTAAGCTATGCCAGTTGACCTATTTGTCCCACGAGACTATGGTCCTGAATCTTCAAACACAGTAAATCAATCCTATGAAGTGTTTGCGTATGTCTAGGAAGTATCCATAACTGTGCCCTCTATGTGCTTTATTGTGTGTATGAATATATATGCAGCATATACAAATGTGTATATACATATACCCACAAATATACCTATATATGCACTTGCATGTACTCCCTTGTGCCTTTCCACCCCCATATAGCATACATATCTACCTATGTAACCACTCACATATTTTTTGCTTGTTATTACTGTTTTTGCAAAATTCTATATGTTATGGCAGTTACTGTGGTTGTCCTTTATTCTTGTGTACATCTCAGTGTCTTCATTTTCCTTGGTCAAGTTGTGCTGTCTTTCCTCATACTGTGTATTGCCTTGCCCTTCACCAGAATTAACGTGTCTACTATCTAGTAAGTGATTCCCCCTCCCTCCCCCTCCCATCCCTGGTAACCATCAAAGAACATTGCTTTCTGTGAGTAGTATCATGCAATGTTTGTCCTTTTGTGTTTGACTTATTTCACTCAGCATCATGTCCTCCAGATTCATCCCATGTTATAAGATGTTTCATGGACTCATCATTAATCTTTATTCTTGTGTGGTATTCCATTGTATGTGTGTACTGCTTTTTGTTTATGCATTCGTCCATTGATGGGCACTTACATCGTTTCTATCTTTTTTGCTATTATGAATAATGCTGCAATGAACATGGGTGTGCATATGTCTATTTGTGTCACTGCTCTCATATGTCTAGGATATATACCTAGGAGTGGAATTGCTGGATCATAATGTAGTTCTATTTCTAGGTTTTTGAGGAAGTGCAATACTGTTTTCCATAGTGGTTATTTCTAGGTTTTTGAGGAAGTGCAATACTGTTTTCCATAGTGGTTATACTATTTTACAATCCCACCAGCAGTGTATAGGAGTTGCAAACTCCCCACAACCTCACAGCATTTGTTGTTTTCTGTTTTTTTGATCAGTGCTATTTTTGCAGGGGTGAGATGTTATCTGTCTTAGTTATCTAGTGCTGCTGTAACAGAAATACCACAAGTGGATGGGTGTAACAAACAGAAATTTATTCTCTTACATTTTAGGAGACTAGAAGTCCGAATTCACGGTGCCAGCTCTAGGGGAAGGATTTCTCTCTTCATTGGCTCTAGGGGAAGATCCTTGTCATCAGTCTTACCCTGGTCTAGGAGCTTTGCAGCACAGGGACCCCATGTCCAAAGGATGTGCTCTGCTCCTGGCACTTTTTTCTTGGTGGTATAAAGTCCCTATCTCTATGCTTGCTACTTTCCCTTTTATCACTTGTAAGATAAAAGGTGATGCAGGCCACACCCCAGGGAAACTCCCCTTACATCAGATCAGAGCTGACCTGAGTAAGGATGTTGCATCCCACCCTAATCCTCTTTAACATAACCTAATCTTGCCTCATTAAACCTAGACAGAGATTAGGATTTACAACACATAGGAAAATTACATCAGCTCACAAAATGGAGGACAACTATACTGGGAATCATGGCCTACCCAAGTTGACACATATTTCTGAGGGACACAATTCAATCCATGACAGTATCTCATTGTAGTTTTGATTTGCATCTCTCTAATGGCTAATGATCGTGAGCATCTCTTCATGTGTTTGTTAGCCGACTGAATGTCCTCTTTGGTGAAGTGTCTGTTCATGTCTTTTGCCCATTTTATGATTGGATTGTTTGTCTTTTTGCTGTTGAGGGGTTGAAGTTTTCTGTATATTTTTAGAGATTAAACCTTTGTCAGATATGTCTTAACCAAAACTTTTTTCCCAGTCTGTAGGTTCTCTTTTCACTCTTTTGGTGAAGTCTTTTAATGAGCATAAGTATTTAATTTTTAGGAGGTCCCAGTTATCTTGTTTATCTTCTGTTGTTTGTACATTTTTAGTTGTGTTTGTGCCAAAAATTAGGACCCCTAGCTTTGTGCTTACGTTATCTTCCAGGAACTTTACGGTTTTACGTTTATCAGTTAGGTCTTTGATTCATCTTCAGTTAATTTTTGTGTATAGTGTGAGGTGTGGATCCTGTTTCATTTTTATGCAAATGGATATCCAGTTTTGCCAGCACCATTTGTTAAAGAGACTATCTCTTCCCCATTGAATGGACTTCGACCCTTTGCCAAAGATCAGCTGTCCATAGCTGGATGGATTTACTTCGGCATCTCAGTGCTGTTCTATTGGTCCATGTGTCTTTCACTGTACCTGTACCAAACTGCTTTGATTACTGTGGCAGTATAGTAAGTTCTCAGATTGGGAAGTGTGAGGCCTCCTACTTTGTTCCTCTTTTTCAATATTGCTTAGCTATTAGGGGCCTCTTTTCTTTCCATATAAAGTTGGGGATTAGTTTTTCCATGTTGTTAAAGAATGTTGTCGAAATTTGGGTCAGGATTGCATTATATCTATATATTGCTTTGGATAATATTGACATTTTTACAATGTTAATTCTTCCAAACCATGAGCATGAAATGTTTTTCCGTTTATATAGTTCCCTTTTGGTTTCTTGCAAAAGTGTTTTGTAATTTTCCTTGTATAAGTCTTTTACGTCCCTAGTTAGATTTATTCCTAGGTATTTTATCCTTTCGGGGGCTATTGTAAATTGTATCGCTTTCTTGATTTACTTTTTGTAGTTCTCCTTGTTAGTGTAGAGGGACCCAACTGATTTTTGTATATTGATCTTGTATCTGTCACTTTGCTGAACCCTTCATTTCCCTTTCTTGCCTTATTGCTCTTGTTAGGACTTCAGGTACAATATTGAATAAGAGTAGTGATAATGGCCATCCTTGTCTCATTCCCATTCTCAAGGAGAATGCTTTCAATCTCTCTCCATTGAGAAGAATATTGGTGGTTGATTTTGCATATATGCCCTTAATTATGCCGAGGGATTTTTCTTCTATTACTATTTTGCTGAGAGTGTTGGACTTTATCAAATGCGTTTTCTACATCGATTAAAATGATTAAGTGGATTCTTTTCCTTCGTTTTATTTATGTGGCAAATTACATTGCTTGATTTTCTAATGGTGACCTATCCTTGCATTCCTAGTATGAATCCCATCTGATCATGGTGTATTATTTTTTTGATACGTTGTTGTATTCTGTTGGCTAGAATTTCGTTGAGAATTTTTGTGTCTATATTCATGATGGATATTGGTCTGTGATTTGCTTTTTTTATGGTATATTTGCTTAGTTTAGGTATCAGGGTTATGCTGACTTCTTAAAATGAATTAAGGAGCATTCCTTTCTTTTCTATATAGTGGAGTAGGTTGAGTAAAATTGGTGTCAACTCTTCTTTGAATGTTTGGTAGAATTCTGCAGTGAAGCCATCTGGGCCAGGGATTTTTTTTCTTGAGAGTTTTTTTAATGACATCTTCCATTTCTTCTTTTGTTATGGGTCTGTTTAGATTTTCTGCCTCTATTTGTGTTAGTTAAGGTAGGTAGTATGTTTCTAGAAATTTGTCCATTTCTTTTAGGTTTTCAAATTTGTTGGAATATGAGTTTTCATAATATTCTGTTATGATCCTCTTTATCTTGTATTAGTTTCTTATTGCTGCTGTAACAAGCTACCACAAACTTAGTGGCTTAAAATGACACAAATTTATTATCTTAGCATTTTGTAAGTCAGATGTCTGAAATGGGTTGACTGGGCTAAAACCAAGGTGACTGTAGGGGAGAATCTGTTTCTTTACCTTTTCTAGCTTCTAGAGGCCACCTGCATTCCTTGGCTTGTGGCCCCATCTTCTGTTTCTAAGCCAACAATCACATGACTCAGACCTTTACTTCCATTGCCACATCTCCTTCTCTGACTCTTCTACTTTCCTCTATTCCCTTATAAGAACCCCGTGATTACATTGAGCCTACCCACATAATCCCTGGATAATCTCACCTTCTCAAGATCCTTAACTTAATCACATCAGCACAGTCCTTTTTGCTAAAAAGGTAACATATACACAGGTTCTGGGGATTGGGACGTGAACATAGTTAGGAAGTGTGCATTATTCTGCTTATCACAGTGGCTTAAAACAGCAACTACTTTTTTTGCTCGTGATTTAGCGGGTCTGCAATTTCTGTTGAGTTCAGCTGAACTGTTCTGTTGGTCTCCCTTGGGGTCATGCAGGAATCTGCCATGACCTGACAGAGTATCTGGGGCTGGATGTTCTATGATGGCCTTACTCATATCTGGTGGTTGTTGCTGCTGCCAGCTTGGCCAGGAGGCTAACTTGAGCTTCTTCTTGTGGTGGCAGTGTTCCAAGAGAGGAAGAGCAGAAACTGCAAGACTTCTTGAGGTGTAGGATTGGAAGTCACCCAGATTCATTTCTGCCACATTATATTGGTCAAAACAAATTCAAGCTCAGCCCAGATTCAAGGGTGGGCAAATAGATTCTACTTCTTGATGGCAGAAGCAGCAAGAACTTGTGGCCATTTAAAATTTTCTACAATGAACTTCATGCATTTTATTCCACCTTGAATGTTCATATTGTATCTGTAATAATTTTGACATTAACATCCTTATTTAGTAATATCTTGGCTTAATTTCTTGGAATTTCACTTTCAAAATGTATTTAAATCTTTATTCTACACGGCGATCAGTGATTTTAGAAGATATTTGAAATTTTGTGAACTTCCGGCTAAACTTGTGTTTTAACGCTCTGACATGTGTAGAAACTGCTTGAAAGAACCCGTGCCAGGCGAGAGAATCTCCAGAGAAAAATGGCTGAGAGGCCCACGCCTGCGGCAAGGTCTATGATCCACGCTAAGAGAATTAGAGAACCGCTTTCGGAAGCAGGCAACCAGCCGCCCCCCTCTGGTGGTGAAGGTAAAAGACCTTGTGGGGGGGAAGTAAAATTTGCTTTTTTAAAAAATTTATTTATCTTTTGAGATAAACCCCAAACATTTTGTTATGCATATAGGGTCACTATGAGTCGGAATCAACTTGACGGCAATGGGTTTTATAGAAGAACCAAGGTCTCTAGGAGACAAATGTAACAGCCTCTAGGGGAAAGATCAGACTTCTGTTTTATTTCAGGGTTATTATATTTTATTAAAAAGGAGCCCTAGTGGCGCAGTGGTTAAAGCACTCAGCTTCAAACCAAAAGGTCAGCTGTTTGAACCTACCAGCCACTCTGCAGGAGAAAGATGTGGCAATCTGCGTCCGCAAAGATTACAGCCTTGGAGACCCTATGTGGCAGTTCTACCCTGTCCTATAGGGACACTCTGAGTTGGAATCGACTCAATGGCAATGGGTTTTTGAGTATATTAGGCCTAATGCCTATCTGTCCTGAACAGAGTTTCTTCTAGCAAATACTTCAAATTAATTGACTGAGGAAACTTTGTTTTCAAATTTTATCTTTAAAATCCCCAAGAGAAGAAGAGTAAAGGAACAGAGTAACTCTTACACTTGCTGTGGTGTGTAGGAACAGCTGACCACCAAGTTCAGATGGTGTTTCTGGCATGGGCAGAGCAGCAATAAGCAGACCTGCCTGCAAATGCTTGCAGTTTAATGAATCTTTTTCATCCTCTGTCTGCTAGACCAACTTTTTAGGTCTGGGGGTGAAGTTTAGGTTGTTAATGTACAAAAGAGGTGGAATTAAAAACACACGCACACGTGGACAAACAAATAAACCCAAACTCACCTGGAATCTTATTCTTTCCTAAATCCTGGCATCTCAACCAGCATCATCCATCTGCTTTAAAGTTTTCCTAGAGTGTAGAATAGTCTGGAGATAATACATTTTCTTAGTACAACATTAAAATACTTACATATAGAAAAAGAATGTGTTATAGAGGTCAAACCAGCATTACAGAAAAGCAGAAAAAAGGGCATGGAGTTGGCTCACAATTATTTGGAGAGCTAACCATAGAAAGAGAATGTATTTTCATATATTTGTATATTTTGAAGGAGCGAGGGAAATACATTATACATATGGTATTCACTCAGGAAGGTAGAGGCCTCCGTCCAGTCTGGGATCTTCTCCCATGTTCACTGTGGCACAGGCTTATACAATCAAGTATTGAATACTATGTACTTGAAAACTAGTGGTCGGGACTTCGTTTTAATGCTTGAATGGAATTATTTACTATTTTTAAAGGAACTGTAAACTTGAAGAATTCTGTATTTCCAGGTAGTGCTTCATGTTAAAATATGAACAGTTTCAAAAGATGATTACAGCCATAAAATGAGTTATGGAAGATTAGAAAGTCTCATGATGTATATTAAGTTGATGTCGATGAAGGCAATTGTGACTTTCTCTACTAATATTTCTCTCGCCACTATCTGAAAAAGAACACTTGATTGGACAGCCAATGAAACTGACCTCATATGAAATTTACATTTTTTTTTTAAATATTATTTTCCAGATGCTATTTTGGAACTCATTCTTGGGTAGAAATAATATGCTTTATGTTTGGATAGCTCTTTCTTGCTTTAGGAATTTTTCACTTTACTGTTGTTCATAGAAGATTAAAATATGAAATGTTTTAAACATTTATGCTGATGAACTTGTTCAGTATTGACTAGATAATTTGCTCACTTTTTCTTTTCCCTGTCTCTTTCCGAAACCCCAGGCCAGGTTGCCCTTCTGCTTTTGCTCATTAGTTATTGTCCATGAACAACTGAAACCTAATTTCTACACTTAGCTCAGCTTGTGACTTTAGGCAGGTAACTTAATTTCTCTGGGCCTGATTTTTCTTAAAATTAAAATGAGATGATTGGGCTGTATGATCTTTAAATCTCTTAGAATATTTGCTTAGTCTAATATGTACGCAATTTTTATTTCCTGTTGTCTTAAGGTTATGCCTACGTACATACATGTACACATAAACTGTTATACATACTTCTTAGAAATGTTATTTGAATTTATTTCCAGCCATGCTTTTTAAATCCATAAATTATGTTTCCTTAAAAAGAAACCTTGACTATCAGATTTCTAAGTTAACTGAAAGAAAGTAGGATTTTACATAGTTATTGTTGTAACTAAAATCATAGAAAAGAATAAACAAACATGTTGGCAACGTTCGATTAATTTGCTAAGTACCTGCTGCAAGTTTTTCACGGATGCCGTGAAAAATTACAGAATTTTGAATGTCTTTTTTTTGGTTCTTTTTAATCTAGAGAAGTCTGGTACAAAACCGTCACCATCGAAAAAACGCTGTTCTGACAACACTGCAGAAGCAGTTTCTAACTTGGAAAATACACAACCAGTGGAGTCAGTGTCTGCAAAACCTCGTTCTCCAAGTCCCGGGTCTCCTCAGGTGCAGACACAGGCACCAGCTACCGTCAGTGACGCTGCGCCGGCGCCATCACTGCCACTGGTCGCAAAGACGCGGCTGAACTCCAGACCGGAAGAAGGTGCAGCCTCCTCGGTTAAAACACGCATGCAGAAACTTGCAGAGCAGCGACGCTGTTGGGAGAACGCTGATATGACAGGTATAAGTCGTATGGATAGGATGGGCCATAAATCTACATTATGAACGTTCTACTTGGTGTATTCAAAATTTTATCTGTTAGTTAACACGAGAGGTAAATGATTTTGTTTTATCTATGTCCTGAGTCTCCTCTGCCTGCAGATGGTTTCTATACCATTAGTACATTTAAAAGTTGGTTGTGTTTCCATTGAAGTAGATGATGATGAGGTTCCTAGACTAGTTCACAAAAGCCTGATCCTGTCACTGAATTACTTTATATCTGCAATGAAAAACAGTAGAGAACAAATTATACTCTTAGCATTGTTAGCATTGCTGACCTTCAGCTATATATGCAAGAAATCCTATTTCATGGATTCACTAATTAAATAAACTTGTGTCTAAAGTATGCAGTACTATTCAGTAGGGAGAGAGAAGACTTCAAAAGACAGTTATTAAGCACCTGCAAAGCGTGTTTATTTTGCTAAGGTACTGGGAAATGGATGAAATGGCCTGATTCTTGTCTTTCATGAGCCTGTAGTCTGATGGGGAGCCCGAGAAGTAAATCAATTATGCAACAGGTTTATTTGTGCTGTGATAAATTTTCCTTATCTCTTGCCCTGATCCAAAAACCCTTGAGATGACTTATAAAAACACTTACATTACAAAACAAGAAAAATAAGGACATCAGGGTGAAGAAAAAAACATGGGAAGAAAAACAAACTAAGGGTGAAGTTAGTTTATTAAATATAGGCCTTGAGGTCCTACTCGCTTGAAATGGTTCTGAACTTCCTAGCAGCCTATGTAAACAGGTGAAACATTATCCGTTACATGATTAATGTTTGTAAGATAATAGCAGAACCTTTTTTGGTGCTAAGAGCTAAGAGAACTTTCTTCCCTGGGTCCTCAAAGATGACTTTGTTAGAGCTAGTAAACATATAACATTTCCCAAGGTAGACAGGTGGCCTGGCTCCAAGCACAGTTCAGTACAAGGAATTGTAAAGTGAGTCAGCACAGTACAGGCAGAAAGCTTGGTGACGACACAGTGTTCCTGAAGCTATGGTTCTCAGCCCAGCTGCTGCATCTCAGACTCACCAGACCACTGGACTGGAAACTCAGGGTTGCGGTGGAGACCCAGGGCATGCTTTTATCTTATTTTTCTAAGCCCTCTAGGTAATTCTGATGCAAAGCCAGAACTGAGAACTGCTGATCTGAAAAAATAAATGGACTACATATTCTTCAGTCAGTCTTCCATAAATATCAATTCTTTTAACTGAAATTTTGATAAGTATTGGACAGCAGAGAGTTTATGATTATACTTTTTGGCAATGATGATAATCTCAAGAGCGAACACTTACTGTGTAATGTACAAGGGACATTCTGTATTTTTTGGTTCTGGTATAGTATAGCATTTAATTCTTACAACAATCTTATGAGTTGTATACCATTATTATCTTTATTTTATAGAAGAGAAAACTTGAGATTCAGAGAGGCTAAGAAACTTGCCTACAGTCAACCAGCTAAAATTTAAACCCCAATAGTTTGACTCTAGGTCTCCTACTCTTAACCTCTGTGACCTATCCTGGTGCCTTTCTGGCATGCAACAGTATACAGATATTCCATGTTGGCAGTTAATATCTGTTATGGATTGAATTATATCCACCAGAAATATACGTTGTAAATCCTAACCTCTATGCTTGTGGTTTGAGCCCTGGTTGCGCAGTGGTCAAGAGCTCAGGCTGCTAACCAAAAAGTTGGCAGTTGAATCCACCAGCTGCTTCTTGGAAACCCTGTGGGTCAGTTCTATTCTGTCCTATAGGGTTGCTGTAAGTCGGAATCAACTCCATGGCAATGGGTTTGGTTTTTGGTTTATGCACGTGGTTAAAATCCCATTTGGGAATGGGTTGCCTTTGTTATGTTAATGTGGCAGGAGTAGTACAGGGTGTGTTTTTGTCTTGATTTAGTTTCTTTTGAGATATAAAAGAAATTACATAAGCAAACAGAGGAGACATGGGATAAGTTAATATACTGTTCTCTAATATTTTGCTGAGAATTTTTGCATCTATATTCATAAGAGATATTGGCCTGTAGTTTTCTTTTCTTGTGGTGTCTTTGTCTGGTTTTGGTATCAGGGTTATGTTTGGTTCATAGAATAAATTAGGGACTATTCCTTCTTTCTCTGTCTTTTGGAAGAGTTTAAACAGTATTGGTGTCAGTTCTTCTCTAAATGTTTGGTAGAATTCCCAGTGAAGCAATCTGGTCTAGGACTTTTTTTGTTGGGAAGTTTTTAATCACTGATTTGATCTCTTCACTTGTTATGGGTCTGTTGAGACTTTCTACTCCCTCTTGAGTCAGTTTCGGTAGGTTGTGTGTTTCTAAGAATTTGTCCATTATATCTAGGTTATCCAGTTTGTTGCCATACAGTTGTTCATAACATTCTTTCATAATTCTCTTTATTTCTATCATCTCAGTTGTAATGCCTCCTCTTTCATTTCTTATTTTGGTTATTTGCATCTTTTCTCTTTTTTTTTTTGTCAGTCTAGCTAAAGGTTTGTCAGTTTTATTGGTTTTTTCCAAGAACCAACTTCTTTGTTTATCTGTTTTTGATTTTATTTATTTCTGCTCTGATCTTTGTTATTTTCTTTCTTCTGGTAGGTTTAAGCTTAGTTTGCTGTTCTCTTTCTAGTTCCTGGAGTTGTTGAGTTAGGCTGTTAATTTGAGATCTTTGTTTTGTTTTTTTGTTTTTTTTAAATATTTTATTGTACTTCAGGTGAAAGCTTACAGAACAGATAGTTTCTCATGTAACAGTAACACACATG